ATAACATTGAGGCAGCTTACGAGCCTCTGTTTACACGATGTTTAAGTAACTGAAATTATTAGTAAAAAAGTTACTATCGAAGCTCGAATGTCATCGCAATGGCTAAAAATTTTTTAAAACACCATAATACCGCTGTTATAATCGGTAATTACACCCACAGTATTATAGTCCCAAGCTTGAGAATGTTGACAGCGTCTGTCATTAAATCCTCTAGATTGAAGACCCATCATAATGTGGCAACTAAACATCGTCTTATAAACCTTACAATTTATTTATAACGCTGCCCTCGAATATCCTTCAGTTCTTGAGAGTGCATAATTCATGATATAACATGACAGCAAGATTATTGTATATTTAGACTTCCAAACATTATTATTATGAACATAACATGATATGGTTGCCTGCCTCTTCTTAAATCTTTTAAACAGAAGCTGCAACATGATATAGCATCCAGCCACTGTTTTAAGATTCATGATAGCAATCTTAAAATGCTGTAACATTAAAAATCTACTCTCTTTATATCTTTCATACAAGATCTGCTACATGATATGGCAACTCTTTCCGTCAAGCTTCAAGATAACTATCTTAAAATAATGTAACATTAAAAAACTGACAGCCTGTCTCTTGTAGGCTTCTGAAATGTAACGAAAACACGATACGAAGGCCATCCCTAATTCAAGTCGGGCAATGGATGCCCGAGCGTCCCATTCTCCACCGTCCACTCATATGCGCAGCTGCCAAAACTCGGCAAAAGAGGCTGGTCAATTCCTGTTAAGGCTGTCGCCCGCATTTACGCGACATTGCTGCCCAATCTTATAGGAGCCTCGCTTCCAGGAGCTGTGACAGAAATAGTGGACTTAGATCGGAGGCTGCAAAGCCTGTTTATCCTGAATGCCTTAGGCGAAAGGCTGCCCCGAGTCTGGCTGTGCTGTTTTTCATGTGAGTAACATGGGTGTTTGTTTCCTAAATAATCTTCTTTATTACTAAGTCCCCTTCAAGTTTTCCTTCCCATTTGCAAATGAACGGGGAAAGTGTCGCGTTTCGGAACGCAGCAGCTGCGATTTCCAGGAAAATCACAAAAGTTCAAGAGTTCTTAAGACTTGCTTTTTAATTGAATATTTTGTTCCCCGAATATATGAGCTTATTTCGGAGCTGAAATTGAAAGTAAACTTCCGTTCTTTGGCTGGGAATGCGAACTCATAAATAAATAATTATTTTGATGGAATTTTGTGTTGGCAATATTGTGGGAAAAGAAGATTGTGAAGAAAATTTGATTCCGTTAAAATAAATAAACTTAAAAGTGTATCAACAAATTATTATATTGAAATTGCCGATGTTCTCCAAACAAAATATGTATTCTGCTCGTTTTTATGGGCCTAAAAGATTGAAAAAAAAAATAAATTCTTTCAAATCTACTAACGGGACAGTTCAATCCGTTTGCAGATATTTTTTTTCTTAATGTGTTACAAATTGTATACGACTTGAATCTCTGATTCGTACTTAAATCTAAAAGATAACTTCATATAATTCAAAATAGTCAATTTAGTTCTTCGTATATTTCTCTGAAAAAATATTATTCAAACTTAGGCGTTAATCAATAGATATATATGTATAATTACTTTAAATTAAAAGTTAGATATTATATTAGGTCAATTTGATTTGACCACAGGCATAATTAATTCAAATACTTTCTGCAACGACTCACACAATGAAGATTAAAAAAAATATGAAACACAAGAAGGACATCACATTTACCAGTAAAAACCAATTTCGCTCAAACTGACGAGTTCGTTTCTAGATGACGGATTTAATAAGGCGTTCTAAGCCCAAAATGAGTTTTTAATCTCAAACACTACTAAAATAAACCTCTGAAAGACTGACGTGTTTGTTCATAAAATATAGTCTGATGCGCTCTATACACAAACAAAAATAAATAAAGCAAAAAAAATCTAAACATACGCTAAAAATACTTAACTTCTCTCAAAGTGGTTTTTTCATTTTTAGATTGCGGTTGTGTTAGGACGCTCTTAGCACAAACCAAATACTCAATCTCAGACAGATTGAGTTACTAGAATGTGGTCTAAATAATGAGCTTTATGTACAACCAAATAAACAATCAATCACATACGCTAATAATAACAAACTTATCTCAAACTAGCGTGTTCGTTTCTATAATATATTCGTGATAAGGCACTTTAAACACGAACCAAATAAACCATGCATCACATTAATCAAGAGGCCATGAGCTAGTAGCCGGTAGAGGGCGCTCGAGTTGCGGTCGCAAGTTTGATTTGTTTTGAGGCTTCGAGTTGCTAATGAGCAGCGGGCTGAAGCTCTGCGGGAGACCGACATGGGAGAGCTGCTAGACATCGTGGGAAGATGTTTAATTAAATCATGAATAGGCAGGGTAAGTTTGATTATTAATTCCATTTAATTATCTCTCCTTATTTTAATTTTAAGTAGATTCGATCTTATATTAGTCAGATTTCAACGGTGAGTTGAAAAGAAAATGTTCATATCTAGAACACTGAATTAAAACAATGGCCTCTTGAATTCTACTTTTAAAGCTTATATATTTACCTTCTACTAGTCGTGGGACTAATTTATGAGAATTTCATTTGAGTTTTCAATATATCACTTCATCTTACATCCCACAATTATGTTTTCTTCATGTATTATACCCCAACATTCCTCATTTACTCATAAACCAACCTCTTTTCTCCCCATATTCTACTCGTCCTCTTCCGAGCTGCAATATGACGTTGCCAATTCTTCAGACTCACTTTATTGAACGGCCTTGCGGAATAAATTTCCATAGTTTTTATAGATTGAGATCCTATGAAGAATCTTTTCGCGCAGACTTAAAGAATTTTCTTTGCCATAAAAAAATTGAATTAAAAACAAACTGATATATGCAGAATTTTACACTAACGTATTTGATTTCTGAGTTTTTGAATTTCGTACAATATTATGCATGAAATTTCGCGGAATTCAAATCTTGTTAGGATTACGTGAAATATTATTGATGATATTTCACGTAATCCTAACAACAACTTTATGGCATGAAATATCATTAATAACGTTTGATTTTAGAAGAGTAGAAGGGCCCTGCAGAACCAATAATAGAGATAATCAGAGCTTTCAAAATCCCTTTACATATATAGTCGCATTCCTTCAAAATCTCCAATAAAAATAATTTGAATGAAAAAGTCTCCTAAATGCCGCCATTTACCAAAAAATTGTATATACATATATTGAAGAACTATTGATCAGCGATTATTACGTGTTGTGTAAATCTTGTATTCAAAATCATTTATAATGCGTGATTTCACTGGATTTCGGTTTCATTTTATACGATACCGCGATTCGATAGATATTGTGATCAATGGCTCGAATAATCGCTTTACATGCGATTATTTTATTATATTATTATACGTATTTATATAGTTACGATTTAAATATACGTGCAAATAAACATAGACACTCCAAATATCTGGGATATATAATATGCTAATAAGGGATAAAATAATTACGTCCCTTTTTATATAAAACTCTAGACATTCAATTACCAGTAGATTACTGAAGAAAAATGTGAATAAATAAAATTGACAATAAAATAATCGATATTTTCATTGAAAACGTTTCAGAGACAAGCTTCCTCAATCAAAAAAATTACACATGTACTGCTGAACTTACGATGTAGCTTGCATGTGTGTGAAAAGATTTAAATGAAAATATGGTACATTTTCAGTGAAATTTATCTACCTTGCTCTATTAATTTCAAGCAAGGATTTATTCTCTTAATTTATACGAGCAGGTTACTGGAGTAATCGGAAATATACATTTATAACTTCGGTCTAGGCATCCATATCATTCATTAATTAAAGAATGGTGACAGACCGCAACATATATTTGCTAAATTAATTTTATCGTCAGGCGATATTCAGAGAAAATTTGGCACGGAAAATTGGACATCATTTTGACACGGGAGTGCTGATGACGTGCCTGAAATCATCTGTGCAAACAAATCCTGCCGAGCCTGAATATTGATGAGCAATGGATGAAAAATTGAGTTCAAAAATTTCTGAGAAAAAGACTAACTCTCAAGTTGAGCGCAGTGCCGGTTTCAACAAGATTTCATTTCTCCTCTGACGCTTGTAATTTTAGGAGAATTTTGTCGCAGCAGATTTGAATATAATATTTCATATAACTTTCTTCTACATATTGATTGTTGAAGGTTAATTTCATGTTCAGAATTTGTTCGGAATCAGAAAAAAGTGGTAATTAAAAAGAATATTAGTAGTATAATGGAGAGTAAAAGTTCATATGTTAAATTGAGTTTATTAATAATGAATGTATATCACATTTGGAAACTTCATTATTTATTATCTATGGCTCCTGCGATTCAGTATGTTTACTCATTGGTTAACGGCTATAGGTACCAATAATATTAACAAACATACACAGAATACATAAAATGTATATAGTCTACGTACCGTGCTTACTCATAATCTTGAATTAAGGAAATGTTTTTATTTTTTTATACAGTTTTTTGAGATCGCTATCAAAGTACAACGGTGGAAAACTACGATGCTTTAGATTAACTTTCAATTAAACATTTTTTTCTGGAAGGCGCACTTGAAGTAATATGTAGAGCAGAATAATGTAATTACGTTATCAGTTAATGCCAAGGCCCAAATATCAGCCTATTTACTCACGTTTAAGTGAAATTAACTTTCACATAAGTTTTAGTAATCGAACAGACCTAGAGTCAGCAATATGGGATTAAAGATACATCAAAGAAAAACAACTCAATTTAATTCAGAAGTTTGTATGAATTGCAAATACCGTTGAAGGATTTCCCCTGTTCAATTACGGGAAATAAAAACTGCATTGAATTTGCTTTGCTGCCCGAGTATCATTCAAAAAATTCCCGCACGTATCAATGTATCAGAATTAAGCGATTTCGAACTGCAGACTAACTGCAGCGAAGCCCCGACAAAAAAAAATATATTTCAATTAATCTAACGAGGCTTTCATTGTGTCGGAGTTATCTTTATTGAACAGAAATTCTGAATGAAATTTGCACGCGCTAACAGCATTTCCAGCACAGAAAAATATTCCAGAATTATTGAATATAACATCGACGACGGATAAATTGGACTAATTAATATTTTCGAACATACAAGTTCGAAGTCGTGGCTGCAGCAAGAGAAGAAGAGGGACTCGAAGAACGAATATTTAACAAAAAATTTTTTATAAACTCAATTTACAAAACCTATACCTTTGAAATATCTTTTCGTTGCAGAAAAAATTAACATTTTTTTCGAAGGTAGTCTGCACCACCAAAAAATAATGGAATATCGAGTATAGAAACAACGATGGGCGAAGAATAAATTCAATCTCTATTAAATTCTAGAGCTTCACTATCCTTGTTTAGGGTCGGTCGTCTTTTGAGACTACCGCGTTATTATATGAAAAAAGTAATGAAATGCATACAAATAATACAAAAACATGACAGGATGATTCTTTGAAAATCTTAGGTAGATTTATTAGTGGCCACCCATGCTGATCAGCCGAAGCTAATTCAAGAATGCCTCAAGTGCTCATCCTTTATCCATGCAGCAGACAGCCCAGAAATCAAGTAAGAAGTCGGGCAGAAACTCAAGCAAGATGCTAGGCAAGAAGACAGCCTAAAAGTTAGCCAAGAGAAGAAACAACAACACGTGCCTATAATGTTATACAAATAGCTTATTGTCCGGTATTTCATCTATTCGAGATCGACGTGCCTTTAATAAAAATATCCTAGAATATAGGGACTACTACAGATCTTCATCCTATGTGGTCCATCAAACTGTACAATATCTACAGAAAATCCAATGTGCAACAGCTATCGGAGTATCCTTTATACACAAGGAAATAAGGGAGGATATTGCGGAATGAATTTTTCTTCATGGTTTGTTCTGCATTTACAAGGAATTTTTATGCAGAGCGAAGAAAATAATTCGCTTGAGATATTGAAATTATCGAAAATTTATTTCTGAAATTAAATGAAAATTTGTTATTCTCCTTTCTTTAACATTCTGTATGCAGAATGAACAAGAGATTAATGAGGTCCATTTCCCGATCAACGATTTTCAATTAAAATACAAAATTATGATTGTTTTCAGTCAATGATTTGAGAAACAATGGGCTTTCACTTTCTTTAAACATCAGGAGCTGGAAAGCTCATTCCAGGCACGGTGAAGTTTATACAGTTTTCCTTGCACTTCTCTAAAAAGAATACAAATTAGTCAACTTTTATTACGCAGTTGAGTATAGCGCAGATTACACAAATTTCATTAATAAAAAATATGGCATCATAAATCCCAATATTTGAGTGACTTATGTGTTTGATTACATAATGCGGAAGGCCCATTATTAAACTTTTGAATTTTAACGCATAATCTATGAGCAATCACCGACTTCGCACTTGGAAAAAATGATTTTTTTTTAAATAAACTCTCTTTAATTCCCCCAGTGAAGTTAAACTCGATAAATCAAAGTTAAAATGTATTGGAAGCTTTATTATAAATTACTAACTGTAGATTGTAGAGTTACAGAAGACTTTAAATATTTTCGAACTTTATAAGTTCAGCGTCAGTCACCTCTTCTCAAAGTCTTTGGCTCTTTCCACGTAGCCTTAAATTTCGCAGTGATAAATTTTAAAAGGTAAGAAAAATGGCCGGGACCATTTTCTGTGACGATTTAATGGCCTCTTTCCGTCCTCCCACAATTTGAATTTTCATACATAAAATTTAACAAAAAAAAAATGAAATTCTTTTTTTGATAACCTTGAGGCTGAAGGAAACGTGCTTAATAATGAACACGATCACTAGTTATTTCAGAGGTAATTAAAATACTGCTAGTTATTCACAATTCAATTGTAACAACATTGAGCTCCCTGGAAGGAAGTGAATTTGAAACCTAATGAAACCTAAGAGTTCAAAACCTAAGAGTTCAATATAATATTTGTTGGTAGGAGAAATTAAACAGAAATTTAAATCAATGGAGGTCGATATAGCATTGCGCTCTTCTAAATTTCAATGATGAAAATTTTTTCTATTTGTGCTGCGATCCTTACTTCTTAAGTTTTTGCGGAATTCAAGACTAAAGGAATCGAGAAAAGTTTTATTTATTTGTAAAGTGACCGTCGAAGTTTACGTTGCAACAATCATCTTTGGTTAGTTCAATTTACATTATTGCACATCCCGCATCAAACTTGTAATTTTGCCGAAACCTTACATATCACAAAAATTTTGATGGTTGAGAAAAAATTCCCGATTGCTAAAAAATTGCCTGATTACGTACTCAAAAAAATCAAGTTATTAACTATAATTAGGCAACTACAAAAGAAGGTCGAAACAAATTATACTAAAATAGTTATATGAATGCTATCGATTACAACGAAAGTTGAAAGATTTATGAATATTTCAGCTTAAAAATGAGATAACAATAAATGTGTCGATGGTAACGTAAGATCCTGTTAGTAGCTACGTTGATTCACTAATTATTTTTCCTACTTTGTTCGTATCGTTGACGTCACCCCTGACGCCATTAGCACGCACACGCGTATGCCTGTCGTGTTGCATACTAAACATGTACACTCAGAATAATAAACGGGTGGTGTTGTCCAAATAGTGACACACTTTCTTACACACAGTATGAGAAGAGGGCCGGATGATACACGCAACTGGCTCTCTGTTGGATGATAAACTGGGTACGGATGACACACACGAGTGCAATAGGTGCATCTCTATTTAGACAATATTTCACACATTTCTCTGAGTGTAAGGTTCTCCAGAGAGAGTTCATTCACTCGATAAAGCAAGCGAGTGCTTAGGATTTCTGATAAAGATTTAGGATTTAAACTTTATATGAAGTATAGTTAAAGGGTGCGTGCAAACCACATCCCGGAAGCTGATTAATCCCGAAATTGTATAGAAAAAGTTATGTCGCGGAATGAACAAACTTTACAAAATGATAGTTTTATAGGATACAAAAAAATGAGTCAGTCTTACTAATTCAAAATAAAATTTTTCTATTATTTAAAGCATGAATGTGACAATTTTTACAAGTATAAGGACATGCGAATTTTGATAGAATGCTTAACTCATCTCTCAATGTTCCAATCAAGACTGAAAAATTTAGTTTATAAATTCAAATAAAAAGGACAACTAATCGCGAAGAATTTTATTCCTTTAAGCCTGTTCCGAAACTGAACTGAGGGACAAACGGATAAGTTTGGATCTTATTAAATGAATAAATAATAATTTGACAGCACCAACCCGTCATACACCAATGAAAAAAGTGTGTATTATCTTTCAATTTTTGTCCATTCATTCAACAGTATATAAATCTTCATTGTTTAGGAACAAATTGAAGGTATTGGGAATAACAGCCAACATTTATTACCGGAAGGAACAACCTAATATTCTATGTTATATTATACAGCGCATATGACGTACTTATGGACATGGATACATGATATAATTACAAAATTTGCAACAAAATCAATCGTTCAGTCGTTTTTCGTTGTGATAATCAGCGGATTTAGTCACCTCATAAAAAGGATAAGATCCCAATCGGTAATTAGCTGCAAAATTCTTCAGGAATGAAATTTGTACATGAGAAAAAAAATTTTAAACAAATCTTACTGAAAAATTCTTGGGAACACGAGAAAGAGCGAATAATGAAAGCAAAAAATTTTCCGTTAAAGCTTGATAAGGCAGAGCTTGATTAAAAGTAAAACGAATTAAAACTGCGAGAAATTCGATAACAACACTCCATTTGTCGAACGTAATGCAATTGATTTTTATAAATTAGAGACAGGAGAGGAAGGAGACCCGGTGGATTTGGTCGGAGATGCCAAGGATTTATTTCCTTTCCGACTGGATTTTCGGACAAACTCAGTCTTGGTGGAGCAGCCATCGCGGGATTGGTTGACCCAAGTCTCAGCGAGACTGGGCCGGTGTGGTACCGGCGGCGGAATCGGCCTAGCGATGGGTAAAATATCGGCATCATTTCGATAAATTTGCTCGTCCAAAATCGAAGAATTCTCGTTGATTGAATCTCCCGGTAATTTTGAGCGCCTCGGAGACACTTGCTTTGAATTTATTGAGTCACTTGGGTTAGGATGGCTTGGAGATTGAAGTAATGGACTGTTAACGAGCCCGATTGAGTAGTGATTGCTCTTAGATTCCGGTGACCGAGAATCCGAACAATTCTGAGAAAATTTTGCTGCTGAGTCATTTATGTCGTTCACAGATGGTTTGTATGATTGATCCAAGTTGACATCATAAGCCAAAGCAACACGACTAGGCGACGTGGCTTCAGATTTTCCTGACTTGATCTGAGGATTAGGCGTGAAAGGCGAGCACATCCTGTTTCCATGCAAATCGTAACTTTGCGACAAATTTATCACCTTGTCATGAGAGTTAGTTCCAACTACAATACAATTATTTGGTTGAGTTTGAATCGCGTTACCATCTCCCATAAGAGGCGTATACAAGTCGTCGCTGTCTGACGGAGAGTAATGATTAGGTGGAGAGTTAGCCGCACCACTAATTGTGGTCTTAGATTGTCTAATCTGATTCCGATAATTTTGCATCGGCATGAGAGGCGCTACTCCTTCGTTCCTGTCCTCTTCTTGCATTTGACCGGGATGGGACGAGTGTCTCTTCATCGATGGCCTTTGGAATTGAAGGCATTCATTAGCGTCTCGTCGGCCTTCATTGCCTTTTGATGAGCAAATCTGTGTCCGATCAGTCGCTGAAGAACACAAGTCAGAATCGGAATTATGGAGCGCTGCGTTTTTGGGACTTCCCTGCGATCCAACTCCGGATATCATTGAACGAGGAGAAGAAAAGCACGGGCTAGGAGGGACTTTAACGCTTCGAATAATTTTTTTAGGAGTGATGTTTGAATGAACTTTAGGCCGCAAAGAATCATAGACATGAGTTGAGGCTGGTCCGTTAATAGGACTATGATAATAGGAGGCCACCTCATAATCATCATACATTCTAACATCAAAGCTATTAGCCGCACTCATTGAAGAACATGCGCTAGCATAACCACTGTATTCATTCATCACACCTGAAGGGATCTCGCAGTAGTTATACTCAGCTCCGTTGTCTGAAGTCTGTGACTTTCCTGGCATTGTCCGCCCGAACGCATCAATATTAGAGCGGCCGTTGAAATGCTGAGCCAGCTGGCCGTGATTGAGTCTCCCGAGAGTATAACTGGACTTGTCCGGGTGAGAAACGTTATACATCTGATCCGCGTATCCTGGAGGCATTTCCTCAATAGGGAATGGTCCTCTTTGGACTTCATGAAACTCTCCGTTCTCATTCTGTGTCCTAAATCTAACAATTCCGTTCTCATTGAACACCATGGAAGCAGGACGTGATGTCGACGAATTCGAATGCTGGCCTCCCCATAGCAAATGCAAGTCTGAAGTGGCGGAATGAAGAGTGTTGGACTTGCGGCTAAGTTTCTCTGTGTCTCGCTGACCCGGCGAGTAGGTCATGCGTGAGATGGCACCGCAATCTTCAGTCAGAAGTTTCCCATTTACGTCCACACTGAAATTGCGGGCGCTTAAGTTAGAATGACACATTGTTGGGTAGAGATTCTCACTGAGTTTCTTATCAGGAGATTCCTGACACGAGCTGATGTCCGAGCAGCTCGTGCAACGCTTACAAGAAAACGTGACGAGGCTATGATCATCGTTTGTTTGTTTATCGAGCGGAGAACTGGAAGAAAGAGCAGCAGCAACACAGATACACGACCACATGATGATCTCTAAGAGCCTGCAACTTGTTTGGTAGCCAAACCACATCCACGGTTCTTTAGGTGGTAGTTGTATTAATCCGACTGGGGTCATAAGGCCGTAAACTTGCAGCACGGAGACGGCCAAGCCACAGAAGCTTGCCACTAAAAGTAATCTTGCTCCACGGCTGAGCGCTTGAGTCGGTAAACGACGCAAGGTGGAAAAATTATCCATGTTCTCTCGGTTATAGGATAGTCTCATGATTTCCTGCCGTTGACGTGCGGCTGATCTTTCTATTCTATAAAATATGATCGCATATCCAAGGCACAGGGCACCAGTCCAGCCAGCAGTAAGGGCCTGGACGCTGGCTCTGAGGGCTTCAGTCCATTTATATCTATGGTGTATCCCTGCTAAGATATCTACCAGAATGTTGCTGCAAATATATACACCGCTTATCAAACCAAACACTAAGGGGTTCTGCAGGTTCAGCGGTAATAAAATTATTCTCGCGCAGTTTAAAAGCGCAAGAGCCACAACTGAAAAAGCGGCAGTCATGCACGGCGCTCCGATGTTGAAGAGGACGTCTGAGAGAGCATTGGGAAGTTTACTACCGCTCGCGTAGGGGTCGTGGAAGAAGGAAACGCACCTAAAAAACGAAGCCAGGAAGACCAGGAGATGAGCAGTAATGTAGTAGCCCCTTGACAGCAAGTAAGTCGACATATGCACTCTCACAATACACAGAAAAGAGATGATCGCCAGTAGACTAAAGCTTGCCGCGGAGCAATAAATGTGAACTTCCCATGCCCCCTGTAAGCCTGACTGCCAATCATCTATGCCTGCTCTCTCGACATCAGTTGACGGAGTTGTCGAGGGTATTGATGAAGGGACTAATTCATCTTTCGAGTTCTCTACGTCTTCAATGTCCTGAAAATTGTTCTCTTCAACGTGATGCTGCAATTCTGCTCCTGAGCCATCTTCAAGATTTTTATTCGAATTCTGTTCTGAGGGTAAACTACTTGAAACTATAGAAATGAAAGTGGTTGTGGTAGGTTTAGGAGTGGTGGTAGGAGCAGAAGATACCCCGTATGCCACTCCTCTGAATATCGCCGCTAGGGAACTCTCGATTGAGTTGGATTTAGGTCCAATTTCCTTCTTCCGAGTCGATGTGAGTGGTGATGTTTTCAAATCAGGACCGTACCCTTGCTGTTCGTAGAAAGACCCTTCTACCGGAGGTTGGCTAAGAACATTCGATTCTCTGTACGGTGAATTATCATCGTTCGTTGTGACAGAACCCCGGGCGTCACCATACCGCCTACTGCTATCTTCGTTGAACGGATTTCGATTTTCGAACGGGTATCGGTAAAAAGGCTGCTGTCCGTAGATCGTTTGTCGTGTTGGATTGCGCTGCGGTTCATCATGAAATTGGGAGCTTGTGATGGTAATTTTGAGTGCCAATATTATAGGAATCACCGTCGCCAGAGACCAGGAACGGCGCAGCATTCCAGCCATCACAGCGGGCCCCATCGAGCGCGTTTCCACACCATCACTCTGAAACGAAGAAAAATTACTGTTAATAAACAAATTATCTTCATAAACACAACTAATTACAGGATAATTGCCTTCTTCCGACATTATAAGCACTTTGAATCTGCAATCGTAAAGTCTTCTATTCCAGAAGGGCTTTATAAAACTGCATCACAGGATACAGTGCAGATGCAAAAGTAATTGTTAACTGCGGATAGAATATGACTTAGGAATATATTCGAGCAAGGATTTCCTTCATTTCTTGGCCTCGCGAGCGACATTTCCGATGTTTGGATCAGAGTTAATGCTGTGGTGGTCGCCAGAAGCTCGGGCGCACGTCTGGACTTGAGCGACACTAATGCCAGGGTAGCGGCAGCGCGCACGCTACCAACTTGCTTGTTGAAAATTATATAAATATTATCGGTGGCCGACGATGCCTCTCCCCTCAATGTATTGTATACCAACGATGTTTCTCCCATGTTTTCTGGCTCGGATACCGGGCCGTTCAACTGGTCGATAAGAATCATAAGTACGAATGCTGAGCAAGTCACGCATTTGCCGCCATATCTTAAAGTCGGCGCGATTTGTCACCGCTGTGGGTGCTTTACTATTGCCCGGGATACAAATGAGACCATCACTTATTTCAATCCATCATTTACGAAGCTGATATCGATTCCACATGATTTTTGTTTCTTCTTTTAAGTTTTGAGAATGATACATTTCGGGCAGCTATAAAGAAACATGTAACCTAATGGGGGTAAGGTTATTAAAAAATATTTTAGAATCTATTTTGAAGAAAAATTGCATATGCATATCCACTCGAATTTCACTGAGGCCATTGAATACTAAATTTGAATAAATTTCTATTTTTATTATATTTTCACATCATAAATGCATAATTAATTTTCATTTTCACCCTCCACATCCGCAAACTTGTAGAAAAATCGAGTTTTCCTACTAAAGTGCGAGGATATAAACTAGATTAAATTCCTGTTTTTTATTCCACAGATACAATATTAATTCGTGTGAAACCCGCGCAATACTTCTTTTCTATAACAACAATACCTCAATCGAGGATTATTGAAATTTGTAATAATAACTATGACATTACAACACAATAGCAGCATTTTACACAGCACAGCGGAACCGTTTTAATCAGTCTCTCGTCAGAATTTCAAGCAGTAGCATTACAGATTGCAGTAGCAGCATTACAAAGCACAGCCTCATCATTAAACAGCACACAATCATCATACAAGTAATTATAGAATAACAATAGAAATATAATAACAGCTTTTATGCAACAAGAACAACGAAGCGTCGCACCTTTCAGGCCAGCGAACGCGATCAATACGACTGTTATATAAAATTAAAAGGCTGGTCCCTGCAACGCTTTTCACTGAACTATTCTACGGTTCGCTGAACGGTTGATTGAAGCCTCGTGGTTGACAAGTTACAGAGCACGACTCTCCCTCGAAAGCTAAGGAGTCAATTCCTCGGGCTTCATTTACCAGAAGATCTTTTAACAAGATAGTTATACATAATATAGTCCAGTTAGAATGTTTATTTTAACTGGCATATACGCTTGGCATTTTTTCCATACATAATATACTAGTATTTAAGTATGCTTTCAACAAAAAGGAGAACAGCCTTATTTGTAATTTTACATTTTATTTCAACGTCATTATTTTAAGTGGACTCTCTAAGGTAAATAATTATTAACAAAATCTATAAGTAGCAAGCTTTAATTGTGTGATTGTGTGTGGTCTGTTCTTCCAACCAACCTTAAAGTGGGTTTAGATTTTCTTGAAGCATTGTGAACTCAACAAAAGAATATTTGAAATTTTATAATTTTAAATCATCACAAACCTATATCCATGAATCACGGAATCCACTCAAAGATTTACGTAACCATGAATTAAAACAAATCTCTGGCACCTGTTAGCCATGAATTTGAACACTGAGATACAAGTAACTAGAATGTTTTGAGATTAAATAATATTGTTTAACTTATTTCATTAACTCGTATCATTGTAATCACAATAAACATTCAATAAATTGAATAATTTTAATAACAATACAATATTTAATCTAAATATTTTTCAGTTAATATCAATTTATTAACATGGGTTTCTGGCTCGAGGAACTTGTATTTGAACTCCTTGTTAGCACTAGAACGTCGACATGGCAGCGCTGCTATCTGAGACAAGGACAACCGCACCAACGGCAGGGAAGTGCAGTCGACAGCAGCATTACAGGGTTGGTTTTTTATTTATATTATTTAACAAGATCAAACTAAATAATAGCAGCTTTGGACGAATTATTCGCCTGCACGTAATCACAATTCAGCGCTGAGCGCAGCACCGCATTAGCTGTGCACGCAGCAGCACAGCACCGCAGCAGCATTTTACACAGCACAGGGGAATCTTTTTAATCAGCCTCTCAGCATAATTTCAAGCAGTAGCATTACACATTGCAGTAGCAGCAGTACGAAGCACAGCATCATCATTTTACACGGCACGGCATCATCACACAGCACAACTGCATCACGCCGCACTGTAGCATTAAATCGCACGGCAGCTTTGCACAGCACAACAGCATAACGGATCATTACACAGCAGCATTACGCAGCACAGCAGCATTACACAGCACAGTAGCATTACACAGCACAGTATTACAGAGCACAGCATTGTCATCACACAGCACCACAACAGCAGCATTGCACAGCACTACAGTATTACGCAGCACAGCAGCATTACGCAGCACAGCAGCATTTCGCAGCACAGCATTATAATTACACAGCACCACAACAGCAGCATTACACAGCAGCACAACAGCAGCATTACACAACACAGCATTATCATCACACAGCAGCACAACAGCAGCATTACACAACACAGCATTATCATCACACAGCAGCACAACAGCAGCATTACACAACACAGCATTATCATCACACAGCAGCACAACAGCAGCATTACACAGCACCCCTAAGTTCGTTAGGAGCGCCACAAAGACCGACTAGACACGCCTCATGTAAAGCTTCTCGCTGCACTCAGCCGCCGTTCTCGCGTATTGTCCGCTCGCCTAATCCAATGACAGCTTCAAGCCCACCTCGAGATGAAGCTATTTTGCTTCCGGAAACTATATACAACTAAAATCGCCGAAAATGAAAATTGAAGTCTATTTCTCAAGTTTGATAACTATGAAACATACAGAATTTTATGATAATAATTGATAATTAATAAACCCTTTAAGGGAAAAAAATGTTTTTCAGCCCACTACTCGAACGTTTCGCTCGAAAGTTAAAGAGAATGAATCTGGTAAATGTTGATAAAAACTGATGATCCAAGTCAGAGCATCGGTCATGTCACATATAAATAATCAGCTCTCAGAGACAGCTTCGCCTTTACATGCTAGATTAAATTATCACGAGAGTTGATCTAATAGCCAGCGCGTAATGTAATTTTCACATTCTCATTTGTTTCCACGCCAAGAATACTTCAAGCAGTTGATTAAATCATTATGAATACTGAATTGAATATTTATTTTGCCAGACCTTAATAATTGAACCTGCTTATTATATCATCGTCGCAGAATGAAAACTAAACTGGTTTTGTCAAGCCCATAATAATAATTATCACTAATTACAAAAATATATATAATTACCGTTTTAATGACAAATAATCAAAGTATAACACCACATTATATAATCCAAATTTAATCACCAGCTTCTAATTAAATGACCAGCACATGCCAACACAAATCCATCTTTTTTCAAGGCCGGAATAATCAAGGCAGGTGCGATGTCTTGAACTCTGCAGAAAACATCGTTTACAGCGGCTTTAATTGCATTCTCGATGAGAGAGTAATGCTCTGCTGATACATTCCCGTCATGCAGATGAGATGGTAATAATATTGGATCCAATACATAGACGTGTCAGGGACTCGGTCACTATAATTTGTTCTTCGTTGCAAAATGGAAAATCAACTGGACGCAATACCAGTAAAATTTATGAGCAAACTAGAGATTGATCAATGATGATGAATTTTTTTAATAAATATTTCAATTTCCAGGGCCTCGTCTGAAAAAGGTAAGCGGTAGCCGAAAATGCAGTCTACTTTTCAAAAAATAAAGTATGATAGTGATGAAAACAATCAATAATATTGTTGAAGAGCTGATCGAATAATAAATGTCTGTGAGACAAAAGCAAATGCATTAAATTTAAATTCAACAGTTCAATATTCTGCAGTTGTCTACGTCTACAAATATAAAAACGAGATTTTTATTACTAATAATCCTCGAAAATACAGTAATTGTCGACCATTCACCCTCAAGTCATTCAAGTCTCTATTTAGTCTCTATTCTCTATTTATTCATTTAGCCTCAGATCCGAGATAAAATAGAAGGTTATAGATAACAAAGATAATTATTGCCAATCATGTTACAATGAATTTTCAAGTTATCCTAAGTTGTACACAAAACTTGAATGCAGATCCTACTACAATAAATTTTCAAGTTATCTAAGTTGTCCACAAAACTTAAATTTAGATTATACTACAATAAATTTTCAAGTTATCCTAAGTTGCACACAAAAATTAAATGCAGATCCTACTACAATAAATTTTCAAGTTATCCTAAGTTGTCCACAAAACTTAAATTCAGATCCTACTACAATAAATTTTCAAGTTATCCTAAGTTGCACACAAAACTTGAATGCAGATCCTACTACAATAAATTTTCAAGTTATCCTAAGTTGTCCACAAAACTTGAATGCAGATTCTACTACAATAAATTTCCAAGTTATCCGAAGTTTTAAACAAAACATTATTGCACACCAAGACACGCCACTATAAAGTTGGGCTGATGCCAGGCGCTGCTTCATGAAATCAACAGCAAACCTACGCACACTTCAGCGAACTCCGTAAACTTTTCGTCAGGCCTGCAATTAAACTTTTTAGGAGCTACGGCACAAGTTTCCGTAAAGTTTTTCTCCAAGTAAGACACATATGAGAGGTAGATGAAG